TATCGACAAAAAAGTGTATATTTTTTGAATTATTCGGAATTCAATTTTACCATTCCTCGTAACTTTTTTTCCAGCTTAAAAAAAATTAGCATTACTTCAGTAACACATTCAAAAATTCAAAGGATTTGGAGTAGAACATGAAAAACATCTAGAGACCATGTCTTTGATCCTAATTGTCCGATTTTAACGACTTTTTTTTAAAAGGAAATTTCGTAAACATTTAAAAAAACATAAGTTAAGTATTTGAATTTTTTGTCCGGATACAATGGTTCATTATCGAAAATAATAAACCAAAAATATTTAAAAATCGCAATATCTTCGCTAATAGCGCTTTGATTTATGAAACTTATGAACCATATTATTACAATATCGACAAAAAATTGTATACTTTTTGAGTTATTCGGAATTAAATTTTACCATCCCTCGTAACTTTTTTTCCAGCTTCTTTTCGTTGAAGTATGTTATATAGATAAATTTAAAGGTCGTCAAGAAAATTACTTCAGCGAAGTTTCATTGAAATCTGTACATTCGTATAGCAACGCAGGTTTTTCAGCCGCCATTTCAAAAGTAAAAGGGAGATAGTAATGTCGATGAAGGAGGATCATCCTCGGGTGATATCTGATTTTATATCCAAATTTGAAAAAAATAGGTCCAGCAGTTTCGGATAAAATGCGCGGACGGCGTACGGCGAATGGAAAAAAAAAATTATTCGTTTTTCGAATCTACGCATCCTGAAACGTGAAACCTCATATTTTGAGAAGGGGTTAAGTTATTAAATTTTTGGTCGATCACAATGGTTGATTATTGAAAATAATAAACCAAAAAGATAGTATTAAAATAAATAATGAATAAACCAGTGCAGTCCCTACTTGATTGCTTAGACCACCAGGTTCGATTCTTGTGTCGGCACGTTAACTTCTCCACCATGTGAATCACAGGAAGTTGAGAGCAACCCCTGTGCCTAATAACATAGCTCCTTCGGTCCTCCAGATCTTCAGGTTGGGAACAAGGCCATTAACCCTATTCCGTAAAAACAACAACAGGATAAAGACGTATGCAAAAGGTTGCCGACCATCCTGATGGAGAGGGAGTAATTGTGATCTCGTCCGGTTATTATAAACCACCTGCTCCGTGGTATCATCTATGTAAGAAGAAACGATTACAGCTTACTGTTAAGAACAGCCCCAATGCTGCGAGAAGACAAATGGCGTAAGTCAAAAGAGTCAAGACGCGTTAAAAAAAAAAAATTATTTTATTTTATTTCTTTATTGAATAATATAACATTCTGCCACTTATACAATGGTTATAGGAAGGTAAGATCATATTGACACTCACAAAAATAAAATTAGAAAAAAATCAGTGTCTCTAAGCGGTCAAGGTCTCGCCAATAGAGACTTAATGAGGTCTGGAAACCACATCACTCTAAACTGGACAGCTACCCTTGGCTGTAGGGTTAATAGGACTGCAAAGGCAAGGGCCAATCCTTATCAACATGGGCCAGATGATCAAAGCCTGGCTATATCTCTATCTATATTATATTATAGATTATATTATATTATATCTATATTACTAAAATATTTTTAGACACTATTCAACAAACTGATTGAAGGAGGCCGATGTGGTATTGGGTATGACCGATAGCGATTCTCAGGTAAAGTACATCACTTTGAGGAATCGTTTTTGAAAACTTCATCAAAATCAAAGATAGGGATGTTTTTTCCCCTGCTTTACACTATTTAGAACATTATGAAGAAAATTCATGAATATTAACGAATCAATATTAAATTATTTCTTGCAATCAACGAAACGTTTTTGAATCACTTCAAAATTATTACACTGTAAACGATTGTTACCAAGTTCTGAATCTTCAATTATTCAGGAGAATAGAATAGAATAGAAAATAATTTTACTTTGGGTCAAAGTCTCTTTAAAATAACAGAATAGTACACAGTTAAAATATTACTTCGGGCCTAAATAAAAATATAAAGAAAACATTAGTTAAACTAATGTTTAACTATATACATACATATTATATAAAAAAATATATATATATATAAAACACTTGAAACAATGAAAAGATACTTGAATCTATGTACAGCGGTAAAACATAAATATACACTTTTAGAAAAAAAAAATACAATAAATTCATCTTTAAAATAATCTCTATGTTTCTGCAGAAAAACAAAAAAGAAAGAAGAATCTGTTAGTAAAAATTGTTTGTGTATTTAAATGATAAATAATATGTAAATACATCATTATGAATAATATGTAATATTACATCATAAAAGGTTAGCATGTATCTGACTGTTTTGGGGGTAGAAATTGTAATAGAAGTGTTTTAAATGTAGATATAGAGGGAGAATGCTGAATTTTGATAGGAAGGGAATTCTATAAATTAACAGAGCAAGCAAAAAAGGAGTTTTGGAATGAGGCATATCTGTGAGATGTGATGTAAAGGTCAGAAGGTCGAGATCTTGTGTAAAGGGACAAAGAACTTGAATTGAAGAAGGTCGTAGGGTTAAGAAGGACGATGATTGTTAATGATTTGATAGAGGAACGTAGGAAGGGAAGAGCCACCTTAACTCAGTGCAGTTGTGAAAGACATAGGGAGATATAGTTTATTTGATCTATCAATTATCAAACATTGAGAAAAACGCATCGCTTTCATGCAATACGATAACGAGAATCTTTTTTCAAGGATTCGAGTGATCTTGACCCGCAGATACGATGTTGACCGCAAAGGTAAACGGGAGGACAAGTGAAGAGTTTAAAGATTCAAGAAACTTTTTCAGACTTCAACCTTCAAAAAGGTTTAAAATAGTTATAACAATTCGTTACTTCCATGAATAAATCACATTTGTTTTTAGAAAAAAAAAAGAAAATATGAACCAGAAAAAAAAAATTAATAGATTAGTTAATTGGTTTCATCTTTAAATTTTTGATCTCTAACTCGCAAGAATAATATCTATTAATAGAAAAATATTATTTTTTATAGAAGTAAATAATAATCAGCCATGAGGAATTACAATATTATTTAAATACGAGTCATAATAATAATTTTTTATTATTATGATAATGCTTTGCGCTTCGTCTGTACAAAAAAAAATAGTTCACTTAAAAAATATATATATTTTTTATTATCACCGGTATTGATAATGTAATCATTGAAAATTGATGACCTACTGAAGGTGATCCACCATAAAGGCTCCAGCGGTGAGAGGCCTTATAAGATTTCCAAAGATCCTCCAGGGCTGAGTTGGCCAATGATAGTCATCAACATCAGGTCTTCAAGAAGGCCAGGTCTTAATGAATCATCTTAGTGTCTCGAAAAGAAAAATTGTTTTCACAAAAAACCTCTTTAATTAGCTCAAAGTGTTTTCAAAAGATTGACAAAGTCAAAAAATATTTTTTTAATTTTTTTTTATTTTCTAGTTTATTTAAATTTCTTGTATAATTGTTTAGAATAAAATAGTACATTTTGATTAAAGAAGATGGAGCTTTCTAATGCTTCGAATCAAAACGAATTTAACCCTCTGAAATTATTTCCTTTAGGACTTAGTCAAGCCAAATTCGCAAAAAAAAATCAAGTTTAAAATTGGTAGCACTGCACCGAGGCAATGTCATATCTAACAATAACAATACCAAAAGCAATTCTTCTGATTTAGAATTTAATTAGGAAATTTAATAATAAGATCAAATTTTCTAATAAGATCCAAAAACCAAAAGGTAGATCAAACAGGATTTTGATTGGAACAAGGAAAACAGGGACGGGTGTTTCAAAATCTCGAAAGAGGCCAGCGCATTCTCAATCGACCTAGTGACTTTAATGCTTCCAAAACTCTTGGATTACCTAGTGAAAAAAAAATATATATCATATTTATTCATTTTCGAATACACAAGTTTATATAATATTTAAATATAAATTTATTTATTATAGGGAAAAATCAAAATTAAAATTTAATGAAATTTTACGAATGAATAAAAGTATAACAAAAAAAATAAATAAATAATTTATAATATTTCAAACAAAATACTTGATATTTTATTGTAATCTTGTAGGCATTTTCATTCGACTGTAAATATTTAAGAGCAATAAAATGGTTTATTATGACTATTACGATTGCATTCAGAAGTGAACAACGAAGATTGTTTCGATCAATTTTCAAATAATTATCAAGAAGGAATATTTAGAAATGAATTTTAATATACACATTTAAATGGAGAGAATGGATTTGGCTATGACCCCCCTTTTTATGTAAGGATTTTTTCTTAAAATGGCATAACAATAAAAAAAAAAATTAAAAAATTAAAATTAATAAAAATTGATCTTATTCTATGACTGTCACTATATAATATAATAATGAAAAAATAAAAAAAACATTTTTATTATTATATTTTAGAATAAAAAAACCGAACACATCAAAACATTATTTTTGTTAACAGTCCATAAAAAATAGAAGAAATAATAATTTTTCAGAAAATAATATATTGCCTATGTAAAAATATGAATTTATAAAATACTATACAAGTTAAAATTAATTTACTCCGATAGATAGAAAGAAGAATTTAATAATTATTAAATAATGATCGATTGTGTTTGAGCATAGGTTTCAACTAAACGAATAATTAGACAGTCGCTGCTAAATGTTGAGCAGATATTATTCGACTGCCAAATCTTCCATACTTATTATTCTACTATTTTAATGAAAAATGTTTTTATATAAGGTTTTTTTTTTTTTAATGAAAAGAAAAATGACTTTTATCTTGAGACATATTTTAGTTTAAAAAAAATATTATAGTTATTATTAAAATCACGAGCCACTAAAAATTATCAAATTAATCAAGAGTTTTATATTGAAGTAATTATAACTTTTTAACCTGAATGACTTAGCCAGTAATACGTTCCATCACCACAAAAAACATGGCAAAAAAATTAAGACGATTCTTCTTCACAGACAAATTGTTATATTGATCCAGTTCTTGGATATAGATGTACTCACCCATGGAAAGGAGGTCCTCCGAGGCCACGAGGAGCTGGGTGGAGGTGACATTGAGGGACAAAGAGCTCGCTGAAGAGAAGAGGAGGAGACACAACGCCCAGACAGGTGGCATGGCGACTGCTGGGAAGGCTGTGGGCTCTGCTCTGCCAGGCAGTCGCTTGCACAAGCCTCTCCCTTCCACTGCCGACCCTTGTCGCACTGTCGAGGTGCGATGACAGTATCCTGAATAAGCCGCGATAGTATATCCAATATACGTATTTTTAAAACGTAAAGGAAGAATTCTGAGTTGTCGAAAAAAATAGGGCAATGCATTTCCATCCTACCGCAAGCTTCACACATCTTTGGAGCCATGGAGGGTCCAAAAATCAACTTCATCGCAGGAGAAATTTTGATTATAAATTATGAAAGTGTATGTTATCCTGCGTAAAAAGAACCTTGTCTGCCGATCCAGAGCCGGTTCTTTTAAAAATGGCGAAATATTAATAAATATTTTTTTCCATATTCACAGTGAAATAGCAAACATACTACTTAGCTAGTATCAACAACATATATTTGTTGACATATTACAAACAGGATAAACAATTCATCTTAGGGATTAATTCATTAGATAAGAAGTGTATCGTAGTGACACAAAAATAAATAGAAAAACCGAAAGGACTTATTTGCCAATCCAGTATTTAAAACACGACACCTAGAGCTTCAAAACTTATCCTTGCATCCTTGTTAATGTTGTTCCGCTTTATAACAAGTTTAATTATTTTTCAAAAAATGGTCAAAACGGGTGTTGACTGACCGCTTGTCCGTAGTAGCAGCTTCACACAGTCCTGGAACCTGGGGTCCAAAAATCGACCTTATCGAAGATGAAGGTTTGATTGTAAATAATGAGAGTGTGGGTTATTCTGAGTAAAAAGAACCTTGTCTGCCGTTCCAGTGCCGCTGCTTTAAAAAATGGCGGCTGATTTTAATTACAATAGGCCAGTAGTTGGGGATCGGAACGGAAAATCCATTGCGAAAAACGTGAGAAAATATTTTACATTTTTAACATGTATTTATGGATTTAGAAATGTAAAAAATAAAATGCCTAACGAGTACCACCAAAAGTACACTTTTTGCAGCCGAAAAATCTATCGTTTTTTTTCGATATTGTTTTTTTTTCACCAATAACTCCTAAACGATGCATCAAAGCGAAAAATGTACTCTTTAAGATTTTTTTATTATTGAATATTAATACATTCTGCCATATTAAAGGGCTTTATTGTCAAGGCTACGTTAATCATTCACACAATATGTACATAAAAATAATAACTAAGATAGAAATAATAAAGAAAAAGAAATATAGAAAATAAAATAAGTTAATTGATATGGCTGTGTACAAGAAAATGAAATAATAGATAAAAGCTAAATCAAATTAAAGTAAATAAAACACATCCACACCTATGTACAATATTATATTCACCCAGGGAACTCTGAGTCATGCTTTATCCCCCGATGTGGAAGCCAAGGCAGGACTCCAGGAGATCCCAGTGCTTCTCTCTCAGCCGCGTTACTGTTATTAGAAACCAGTGGAAACTTACGGGGGGCACTACAGCTTAAACGATATTAGGCCAATAATTTGAGGATCTAAACCTGAAATCCATTGCGAAAAACGTGGGAAAAGTTTTTATTTTATAACTTGTATATATAGGTTCAGACATGTAAAAATCAAAATGGCTAACACGGACCACCAAAACAACACTTTTTACAGCCGAAAAATCTATTGTTTTTTTCGATATTGTTTCGTTATTTTCACCAATAACTCCTAAACCATGCATCAAAGCAAAAAATGTACTATTTAATAAATTAAAGAACGTTAAATTGTTCGTCGAATGAGTACATAAACTTCATAATGTGGTTACGTGGTAAGGTATAAAACCAAGCTAACCAATGAAAATTTTTACAAAATTTGTCAAAAACTGATACAAAATACTATAAATGGCCCTACAACTTGGACACGAGTTCCTTAAGAGCAAACCCCATAGGATCAAAGTTGTAGAGCATCAAATTTTGCGTCCATTGAGTGCTAAGTAATGTAATGTAGGTCCCTTACTCCGAACAAAATGTACCGAAGGTTAGAAATTGAAAATGAAAGTAAACGTGATTTTCAATATTTGCACAATATGGGTGTCTATTCTACAGATTTATCTTTGTTTAGAGTCTGTTACATGCAGTATAAGCCTCTTTTCCACCTCTCAGCAGCGAAGGGATTTGATAAAGGATTCGTCCAAAGATACTGAATTTGATAAAGGAATAACGAACCCCGATTCGAGATATATAATTGGCCAACAATAAAAATGTGAGTTCTTACCGGACGCAAAATTTGGTGCTGTACATCTTTGATTCTATGCGTATTTCCTCTTAGGGACTCATTTCCAAGCTACAGAGCCATTTATAGTAATTTGTCTCAGTTTTTGACAAATTTGGTAATGATCATCATTGGTTGATCTCGGTTTTATACTTTACTACATAACCAAATTATAAAGTTTATGTACTCGTTCGACGAAGCATTTAACGTTCTTTAATTTATTAAAGAGCACATTTTTCGCTTTGATGCATAGTTTAGGAGTTATAGGTGAAAAAACAAAAGAATATCGAAAAAAATCGGATGATCGACTTTGCAGGCTGTAAAAAGTTTTCGCTTGATGACCCACGTTAGCAATTTTGATTTTTACATGTCTAGCCCCATATATGAAAGTTAAAAAAATAAATTTTTTAAAAATAATTTTCGCAATAGATTTTAAGTTCCGACCCTCAAATTACTGGCCAAATATTCTTTAGATAAACCACCATGTTTGAAAACAGCGGCTCTGGAACGGCAGACAAGGTTCTTTTCACTCATAATAACATACAATTTCGTAATTTACAACAAAACCTTCGCCTTCGATCAGGTCGATTTTTGGACCCTTGCACCAAGGCTATCACCCATTTTGACCATTATAAGAAAAATAACTAAACTAGCTATAAATAGGAACAACATTAACAAGGATGCAAGGATGTAAGGATAGGTTTTGAAGCTAGGAGTCGTGTTTTAAATACTGGATTGGCAAATAAGTCCTTTCGGTTTTTCTATTTATTTTTATGTCACTATGATAAACATCTTATCTGATAAATTAATCCCTAAGAAGAATTGTTTATCCTGTTTGTAATATGTCAACAACTATCTCCGTTAACCCTTGTTGAAATTAGCTTAGTATTGTGTTTGCTATTTCACTGTGAATATGAGAGAAAATATCATTCATCATCGGCATATTTTGTTGTATTATTTTTAAAAAAGTAAGCGTGCTACAGAAGTTCATAGAAAATTTTGCACTGCTTATAATAGGGATGATGCCTTAACCGAACGCGCCTACCAAAATTGATTTGTCTAATGCTCTACGGTCTGGTTGTTCACATGAAATCGAAACGAGCAACGTTAAGGCCATTGCTGATCAAAATCCCACCCAATCAATGAGAGAGATTGCTATGGCCCTAATGTGTCGCACACAAACGTAGAAAACCAAATACGTTTCCAGGCTTAATGTTTGAGTCACTCATTGGTCACTCGCGACAAATTATTGATCCTTGGGTGGGACCTTTTGCCCCACCCTCTCTATTCGCCAGACCTAGCCCCAAGCGACTACCACTTATTCCGCTCCCTGCAGAACTCCATGAATGGAAAGAAATTCCAAAAGGAAGAGGACATCAAAAACCACTTGGACCTTTTTTTTTTCAATAAACTCCAGACATTGCATTATACAGTAAGTGGAAAGATGGGAAGAAGTCATATTAAATAATGGTCAATATATAAGAAGAAATATAGATTAAAATAAATTTTTTGTTTATAATACATTGAGCTTTATTTCACCCAAAGAAAAACAGAAAGGACTTAATTAAAGTACTCTGCGCATATTGCATCGAATCCCGTTACCTTCATCCCTATAGTTTCTTTCATATTAATTTATTCCAGGAGCTTGTTTTCAATTTTAATGTTGCCCAAGCAAGCAAAATTTAAACTATAAAATTAAAAAATGCTTAATGGGACCAATATATGGGAGGAGGTGTAGCGAATAGGAACAATGTTTTGTGACAAAAGATAATGTAAACCATGTAAAAAATCACATTTTTCAATTTACCATAGTGCTCCGTAAGAGCCATCTTCTGGCTAAATGTCGAATCTGAATGGCGATCGGAAGACCGAACTCAGCAATGTTATCTTTAGGAATTATAGCTTTGTTAGAATCGTACCAACATGTTTTAGTAACGAATAATCTTAATGGAAAGTTTACATTGTGCAAATACACATACACACTGATCATATGGAGTGGGAGTTAGTTTTTAACAATATTTCTATGGGGTTATAAAATTTTAGGTTTTATTCAAAGAGTTAATTTATACTGTATTGTTTCTTATTTATTTATAGTTACTTAGATTTTGTGTAATTTTCAATAAGTTCAAATTAATATTTACTCTTTGTATTGAGTTTGTATTTCTATTGAAGTTCAACCAGCTTGTCGTGGTATCGAGTTTATGTGTGATTTTTACATATATTTTTATACTCCAGCTTAAATAGTTTTGTTCTGACTGAAGAAAAGTATTATTCTCCTTAACTGTGAAAAAACAATAAGTTTAGTTTTTCTTATTTCCCTTATGAAGTTTTTGTAACATCGATTTTACGAGTGAAAACATGCCGGTTAAGTACATATTACTATTGTTAGTGCAAAAAATCGTAAGCATTCAGCTACGATGAAAAATAGCAGAGGGCAATAAATTATGAAATTATACTAATAAATCATAACGAAACAATTAGTTTTTATGGTTTCTTGTAAAACACTCAATGTTTACATACGACTTTTCGCACTAACAGTATTCATACACAATATTCATGTTAAGTACGCACTCGATTTTTTTTTTAATCCCGAGTCATCCATTATGCAATCTGCATATGCGCAACTTTTTCGCATTTTAGTGTTCGATGATGAACAAAGCTCGTGGATATCCTACCTGCATATGTTGAGGGATTACTGAATTTCCGAAACAGGCTTCTCCCAGAGATTTTATTCTGATACGAAAAATTTTAGACCTTGTAATATAGATATTTTTTAGAAAATGC